AGAAGGATAACTTGTATCCCCGTGGTAGGAGACCTCCAAAACAGAAAAGATACCATCAAAGTTATTTTATAAGAGAACTGACCTGAAACAAAGAACAGCTGCATATGCAGCTCGAAAGAACACATCGTGTTCCCATGAAAATGTGATAAAGAACACTCAACAGTGACACTCTGGTCAACTTCCTCAACTTCAAGGATAAAAAAAGAATTCTTCAGGCACCCTGAGGGAAAAAGCAAATGACTTCCCAGGGGGGGAAACATCAGAAGACCAGAAGTATGTAACATCTACGAAGTTCCAAGATAGTTCAGTGCAGTGGTAAGGAACACACACACACACACACACACACACACACACACACACGGTCAGAGGTGAGGTCTGAGAGATGGGCAGGGGCCTGATGCCTGAGTGAGGCCTCCCTGAAGTGAATCTGAACCCAGATCTGAAGGAAGTGAGGGATGAGGGAGGAAGTCATATAAAGAGGGGCCTAGGCATAAGGAGCAGCAAGAGCCAAGGCCCTAACCCCAGGTACAGTCTGGCATTTTCCAAGAAAAGCAAGAGCGAGGGGATGGAGCAACATGATCAAGGCAGAGAAAATGCACTCAAAATGAGCCCAGCTAGCGTGGCTCAGTGGTTCAGTGTCGATCTGTGAACCAAGAGGTCACAGTTCGATTCCTGGTCAGGGCATATGCTTGGGCTGTGGGCTCGATCCCCAGTAGGGGACCTGCAGGAGGCAGCCGATCAATGATTTTCTTTCATCATTGATGTTTCTGTCTCTTTCTCCCTCTCCTTTCCTCTCTGAAATCAATAAAAAATTTTTTTTAAAAAATGAGCCCTAACCGGTTTGGCTCAGTGGATAGAGCGTCGGCCTGAGGACTGAAAGGTCCCAGGTTCGATTCCCTCAAGGGCATGTACCTTGGTTGCAGGCACATCCTCAATAGGGGGTGTGCAAGAGGCAGTTAATTGATGTTTCTCTCTCATCGATGTTTCGAACTCTCTATTCTTCTCCGTTCCTCTCTGTAAAAAATAGTATCTGTCCAGATTATTGGCGGCAAGCAATGGAGATCAACTCTAGCTGATTTAAAGAAAAGGACTTGATTAAAAGGCTATTGGAAGATAGAAGGTGGTGATGTTTGCACAATATGAATGTACTTAATACTACGAAACTGTACACTTAAAACTGGTAAATTTTGTTATATGTATTTTACCATAACAACAAATTGGGGGAAAAGGCTTACTGGGTGGCCAGAGAATCCCTAGTGTTGGAGGAACAAGTTTTGAGCTAAGTTGGCTGGGAACAATATTCCAAATCCTGCTGCCAGGCTGGCACAGGGCAGCCAGCACTGCCTCTGCCATCCTGCAGGGGCAGCACTGGCCACAGGCCACTGGGGTCCTTCCTGCAGCCCTGACACCGAGCAAGGACTTCTTTTGGTGCCCACCCTTCTTTCCCCAGGCAGGTAGGTCTGAGTGGTAGAGCCTGGGCACATGCCCATACCCTCCTGTAGGGCTCAGGTCTTTTTTAAAAAAATATTTTAAATGTTTTTACTGATTTCAGAGAGAGGAAGGGAGAGTGATAGAAACATCAATGATGAGAGAGAATCATGGACTGGCTCCCTCTTGCACACCCCCTACTGGGGATGGATCCTGCAACCTGGGCATGTGGCATGACTGAGGATTAAACTGTGACATCCTGGGTCATGGGTAGATGCTCAACCACTGAGCTACACTGGCCAAACTGAGGCTATTTTTTTTGGGTAAAGGACCAGAGAGCAAATATTTTCTGTTTTGCTATCTGGTGCCCTGCAGGTCACACGGTCCTTGTCACAACCACTCAAATTGCGTTCAGTGGGGAGAAAGCACAGGCAATACTTAAAGTAAGGGGTGGGGCGGGACTGCAATAAATTTTGTTTTACAAAAACAGGTAGTGGGCCAGATTTGGTTTTGGGATGTAGTTTGCTGATAGCTGCCCCAGCTGAAAGGGAACCTAGGAAGAGACTACAGTCAGAGGTCACTTGGCCTCCCATCAAACTCATAAGGTAAGATGATTCCTTCAAACACAGAATGGGGCTCAGATGTGAGATAAGGTGGCCAAGGAAAATACAATCGACTACGCCATTGATGCTGTAAAAGGTGAGGTCCCGGAAGAGACACAAGGTTTCTGGGAAGGAATAACCATGTCAAAAGAAGGACTTGCCAATGGCCACAGCAATGTGGACATCCACTGGGGGCTGAGACTGTTCTGTGGAATGTGGGGAAGAAAGCCTCTGTGGAGTGGGGCTGAGCAAGAGTGGGAGGTGAGGCGATGGGATGGTGAGTAGCCAACTCTTGAAGAGCATGGCCAGTGGGGGAACAGAGAACAGGGCAGGAGCGGAGGAGGCAGTGCTCAGTGAAGATATGAAATTCTAAAACATGTTTGTAGGATGATGGGCATGATTCATGAGAGGAGTGAAAACTGACAGAGTCCCAAGGAACACAGAACCTGAGAGCTAGGAGCACAGGAAGTCTTTGTCACTAGCAGAGCTATTACAGCTCCGTGGGTGCAACAGTTTCCAGTGATGACAAAGTCCAGGCTGTGACAGTGGCAGTGGGTGGCTGAGGTCACAGGAGCAGAGATGGTCAAAGAGATGGGGAGTCAGGTGTTATGAGGGCCATCTATGCGCACACTTAAGTCACCTGTGGGATGGAAAGGACTGGGTCAGAGAGACAAAGACTGTGGGTCTGGCACTGAATCCTCAATGGAGGGGGACTGTTTGGGGCGGTGAGCAAGCCTATGACAGGGAGTGTGTGGGCTTGGAAAGCTGAGTGGAATGAACATCTCAGCATGCTTTAAAAAAATATATATATATATATTTGATTTCAGAAAAAGTGAGAGGGAGAAAGCGATGGAAATATCAATGATGAGAGAGAATTATTGATAGGTTGCCTCTTGCATGTCCCCTACTAGGGACTGAGCCCGCAACCCGGGCATGTACCCTGACCAGGAATCGAACCGTGACCTCCTAGTTCATAGGTCGATGCTCAACCATTGAGCCATGCCAGCAGGGCTCAGCATGCTTTTTTAAAAATATGGTTGATTTTAGAGAGGGAGGAAGGGGGAGGAGAGAAGAGGAGGGAGAGAGATAGAGACACATTGATGTGAGAAACATTGAGCAGTTGCCTCTGAGACCAGGAATTGAACCCGTAACCTAGATATGTGCCCTGACCGAGAATCAAACCTGTGACCAGTGGGATATACAGACCATGCTCCAACCAACTGAGCCACCCAGCCAGGGCTCAGCATGCTTTCTTGACAGCATGTATCATGAATGTGGAAGACACAGCTTCTCCTCCTGCCTGGGGTACATGGGCCATGACAGTTAATAGGCTGCTCTCTTGTTATGAAGTGGGAGCAAGAGAGGAGGGATCTAACCCGGATGGGGCCTGGGGGCTTGGGAAGGGCTTTCTGCAGGAAGAGATACCTGAGCTGAGTCTTCAAGAATAAATAGGAGGAGGAAATGCAGCTGGGAAAACACAGATAGAGAGCAGTTCTGTGTGGCTGAGGGGTACACCTACGAGAAAAGGGGAGGCAACAGGAGCCAGAAAGAGGCATGGGTCACATTAGGGGTCTCAATACCATTTGAAGACATGGGTGCCATTCTCAGGTTTAAAGCAAGGGAATGATATTTGACTCCAGGGACTGCATGGAAGACAGAAATGTGTAGGAGAGTTAGCAAGTTATTGTAGGAGTCCTAGAGAGAGATGAGGGCTTGAACCAGATGAGTGGAGGAGGGATGAAAAGAGAAGTTGGAGAAATAAAGAAACATAGGGCAGGGCTGTCTGGCTCCTGGGATGTGGGCAGTGATGGGCAGGTCAGGAGACTCAGGTTCTCAACGTGCATGACTGGTGCTGCTATCAAGTGTGACACAGAGCAGAGGACATGGGGTTTGGCTGATAGGTCTTCTGATCTAACCACCTTATATAGGGAGAGGCAAGGATGTGGTAAGGCAAGCAGTGAGTTGAGAACGGGAGGGAGAAAAAAGGACAAAAACCTTCAAATTTTACCTTGCACGGTAAAATCTGACTAAACTGTACATACACCCCATGAGTCTTTTTTCTGACATGAAGCAAAACAAGTTCTATTTCCTTCATACTTCATTTTAGTGCTCTCTGTCGCCACCTAATGGGATGTCAGCTGAAACCCCAAGATTCACCTGGGGACTGTCAGGTGGGCAACAGAAGGCTTCCTGACAGAGTAGCCGCCCAGGTCGGGCAGGCGCATGGGACAGTGCCCGGGTGGAGCTAACTTTAGACATCTGACAACACCTCTAGGGTCCACGGACTATCTTATGGAAGATCAGAGGTACCTGGGACTACCAGAGACATTCACTTGTTAATACCTTGTTCAACATAAGGTTGTTTTCCACAGATGTGCTTCAACCTTTACTTCTCTGTACTCTCAGGATCAACCATCAAACTGAGCCATGCTCCGGGAACCACTGTGTAGATGTGCATGAAACTGTTATACGGTGGGACAAAAATTCCAGGACACTTGAGCCTCGTTGAGCTCAGTTTTTGGTTCTAGTATTTAACGTGCCACCTCTAGGTCTAGATGGACTTATTCCTTGCTGCTGCCTTCTTCCCACACTCCCGTATACCTACAAATGTTATTCACTTGAATAAGAAGTGTAATAAAGGCCATTTTACTGTTACTAGAGGTAACAAGGGGAAGCTGTAGTGGATAAGCAGAGGCAGTCACTGCTCTCAGTGGCTTCAGTCGAGCAGGGGGCACACGCAGCAATAGTAACTTCACCGTCATCTGGGACTGCTTGGAGAGAAGTCCACAGGAGCCTCAATGCAGGACACAGAGCCCAGTGCAGGGGAAGGGACAAAGAGATGAGGGCCAAAGAGTATGACCTGTTTTAACTCCCCTTTTAGCCAGTGAAGAGCTGCAAGAAGGAAATCAACATTTTCACATGCCAAGGAAAGGCACTAAGGTAAATGCTTGAGTCTGGTTAAGTTCTCACCTGCGGAGTTTGTGTAAGGATGAGTCTGCCTCTTGAGCTGGTGTGGATTCCATGAGTGGATCCTGATCAGGCAGGCAAACAGCAGCTCGTCCAGAACCACACTGCACGTGGAAGGACAGAGTAGAGAAGCGATCCTAGGGGCTGACCAACGGGGAGATGGAAATCATGAATATAAACTGGAAAGTTTGGCACAGAGAAGATGCAGGGCATCCAGAGGTAAGGGGGTAGGGAGCCAACAGAAGGCCAAGATAGAAGATACGCTAAATTTGTAATGGAATTTAAGGTACATTTAAAAGGATGTTTACTGTTGTTCATAACATGGATATATTAGTCTGCTTGGGCTGCCATAACTAAATGCCACAGACTGAGTGGATTAAACACTATAAATTTATTTCTCACAGTTCTAAGGCAGGAAGTCCAAGAGAAAAGTGCCGGCAGATTTGATGTTTGGTGGACCCTCTTTACTGGCTTGTAGACACCTGCCTTCTCACTGTGTACTCATGGCACATTAACAGACAGCAAGCAAGCTCTGTGTTGTCTCTTCTTATAAGGACACTAATTCCATGATTAGTTCCACCCTCATAACCTCATATAGCTTTAATTACCTTCCAAAGGTCCCGTCTCCAAATATTATCCCACTGGGAGTTTGGGTATCAACTTGTGAATTTGAGGGGAACATAAACACTTTAGTCCCTAACAATGTTCTATTATTAAATGAAAAATATAACTGCAGGGTATGGCACTACATATACTATGTGATACCAATTAAAATTTAATCCAAAAGATGGTAGTATAACAATTTGAATTTATTTAATGCTAAACTGTATACTTAAATGGTTAAGAAGGTAAATTTTATGTTATGTGTATCTTACCACAATTTAAAAAAACCCATCTAAGAGGAGGCAAGAAAGAAAGAAAAGAAAATGTAGAAAAACTGGAATGCACAAAATGAAGTGGTATAAACAAATATAAATGCATCAGTAATTAAATACATGTCAGTGGATGAAAGACAGAATGGATTTTAAAAAAATCTAGCTATTTATCACTTTTCAAGAGTTACATCTAACGCATAAAGATACAAAAGGGAGGAAAATGAAAAGAGGCAGTGCTGACCAAAAACACAGGTAGTGCAGTGCTATTATTATCCAACAAAGTAAAATTCAAAGCAAAAGCACTGTTAATTATAAAGAGGGTTACTTCATAATGCCAAAAGTTCAATTTACCAGGAAAATAATATAGCTCCTAAAAGGCCTTAAAATAAATAATAAAGGCAAAATTAACAAAGCCCACGGAGAAACTGATGTGACCATCAACATGCCAGGAGACTCTGACAAATGTTCCCCAGCCATGGGCAAATCAAGCAGACAAAAATAACAGAAGAGAGGATGGACAAGGTGAGGTGATGAGCTGCAGGCTTCTACATCCCTGCCTGGCAGCTGTATGCTCTATTCAAGCAGTCACGCACTTGTCAACAAGTTGCGAGGGCTGCTGTCACACATACCAAGTCCTCAGACTACAGTGCAGTTTAGCTAGAACTTGAGTTTTTAAAACAGGAACTAGGAAAAGAACACAAAACCATGTGCTTAGAAATTTAAAAAATACATTTTAAATAATTTGTGGTTCAAAGAGAGAATCATAAAGGAAATTATAAAAACCCTTTAAGCTTACTTAAAGTGGTAGTACTACACATAAGAAAACTTGCTGGATGCAGCTGAAATAGTTTGAGGGTCAGCTTTAAATGCTTATATTTGAAAAGAAGGCTGGAAATTAATGAGCTAAGTTTACAATTTGAGAAGAAAAAGGCCTGGCCGGTGTTGCTCAGTGGTTGCATTGACCTATGAACCAGGAAGTCATGTTTCGATTCCGGGTCAGGGCACAGCTCCAGGGTGGGGGCTCAGTCCCAAGTGTGGGGAATGCAGGAGACAGCCGATTAATGATTCTCTGTCAGCACTGATGTTTCTATCCCTCTCTCTCCCTTCCTCTCTGAAATCAATAAAAATATTTTTTTAAAGAAAGAAGAAAAAACCAGAGAACATACCCCAAGAAAGTAGAAGATATAATACAGATAAAAGTAGAATTTAACAAACTAGAAAGCAGACATAGAGTAATACAGGACAATAATGCCCAAAAGTTCACTCTTAAAAGATAATAAAACTGACAAAGTTCTACTAAGACAAGGAAAAAAGGGAGAAGGTGCAAGCAAAGAATTCTAGAATGAAAAAGGAGACATAAATACAGATATTACAGAGGTTTGCAAAAAAGAGATACAACTTCATGCTAATGAATTTAGTAACATAGACAAAATGGACAAAAATATACCTGACCCAAGCAGTGCAGGGAAAATAAAAATAGGTTTCCAAGTGTGTGTACATGCACGTGCACAGAACATGTCAAAAACATACAAAGGATCCTGGAAGCAGCTGTACCCTAAAGAGGGGCTTGGGTGGTAGCAGGGACACTCACAGACCAATCATTACTCTAGAGTTTGCACTTCCTGAGTTGTGAACTGTGTGGTGAGTCACCTGCTCAACAGTGGATCCATATGTGCCCGTAGACAAGGAAAGGCCTCACCTGGTTGCATGTGCAGGCCGGCTCAGTAGGTGGGGAGCAAGCTGTGCAACAGGAGCAGATCCCAGCATTAGCTGGCACTAGGTCTTTTCTTTCTGTCTTTTTAATCTTTACAAATTTGGTAGGTGATAATGGCATCATCTTTGTTTTCATTTGTGTCTCTTTGATTATCACTGAGGCAGAACTCTTTTCCTACATCTTTATTAGCCACCTGTATCTCTTCTTTTATGAATTTCTTGTTCATTAGTGGTGACTAATGGTAAGTCAGTAATAAACACTGTTGCATTCATGTTTAGACTAAAAAGGAAATTTAAAAATCTGCACAAATATACTCACAATAAGTGATTGTTGAATAGGCCAAGATAACTGTCCCAAATGCTGGGTTAGAGGCACTTAATTAAGCCTAAGATGAGTCGTTGAATGGTGATATGCAGCTGAATTGTTTTCCCCAATCCAAACACTTCAAACTCGCCCAAATCCCATGGAATTACACCCAAGCATGCATTCATTCATTCACAGAACAGCCTCTGTTTGCCAAGCACTGTGCTTTGATGGGAGGCCAGGGTCTGTTGGAGAGCCTCGTTCAATGGGCACCAGCGGCACTTCCCACCCTTCTTCACCCCCTTTCCAGAGGGCCATTTTAGCTGATATCAGTACCGCTAAATTACTGCCCATTATTCAAATGATATAGAACCAATCCAAAAGCTCAGATCAGGACATTTTCCCAATACTTTCACAATCACTGCTTTACACACAGTCTCACTGAATGCTCAGCAACATTAAAGTAGTTAATCAAAGGCAATACAGGCTCAAGGACAGAAAAAGCACTTGACAACTAGTAGGTATAAAAGCTGAGATTTAATCCTGAGGGCAACATGGCTCAAAAAGCCTATGCCCCTCTTCTATCCTGAGATAAAACTTTGAAAGCATGTTTTTTTCCTTGCCCATACATCAAGGACCTGGGTTGCAAGCAACAGAAACCAACTCTAGCTAACTGCAATTACAAATGAGTTTTGGGGTTGTTTTTTTTTTGTGTGTGTGTGTGCAGATCTGGAGCTGGAGAGAAGACTAAGCCCAGAAAAGTGTTTTTATAACTGAAAACTAAGCTCAGAAAAGCAGCCACACAACTGAAAACACAGCCAAGGTGCACTAAAGGGATTATCTGGTTGGGAAACCCATCCTGGGCATCACCAGATCATCTCTGGACATTAGCCACCGCTGCTTGCTTTCTGATGCATACCAGTAAGAAGAAACTGTCCCTGGAAGTTGCTTTCCCTTCCTGGGTTCAAGAACCATAGGCTAGCGAACAGATCTGTACCCCATCTTGCATCCAGAACCTTTAGAGAGAAATAAATGATTGCTTTGTTATAGGCACTATTTGTTCCTCAGTTAAAAAAAGATAGATGTGGAAATGGAAATGACTGAATGGTCTGTAGGGCAACCTGGCAAGTCCCTATTGCCCATTCCCCATGCTCTCCTTCTTTCTACCTGAAGAGGAGGATGCAATGACTAGAGTTGCAAGTGCCATCTTGTAACTATAGGCAACCTTGAAAATGGAAGTCTCTTGCTCAGGGTGATGGAGGAAGAAGATTGAAGGGTTCTGGATCCCAGATACTGACAGAACCACTGCAGTGGTCATGGACAGCCTGCCTCCAGACTTCAGGGCACATGAGAGAAGAGGACACCACAAGTCTCTAGTCCCATATTTAGGCTTTCTTAAGTAGAAGCCAGGGTCCACCTGTCTCTTACCTAAGATCCATACAATGTGGGTTTCTTTTCCAAAATTGTAAAAAAATTGTTGACAGTATTACAGATGTCCCCCATATCCCCTTCCTTTGCCTCCCCCCACCCAGTCCCCGCCCTACCCCAGGCCTTCACCACACTATTGTCTGTGTCCATACACTATGTATATCCTTTATAATAAAAGCCTAATATGCTCAGTATCCAGTCGTCGGTTGTCCGTTCAACCAATCAAAGCATAATATACTAATGATATGCTAAGGCCACTCAATCACTAGCTATGATGTGCACTGACCACTAGGGGGCAGTCAAACCAGTTGCTATGACATACACTGAACACCAGGGAGCAGACAATTCCAACTGGTAGGTTAGTTTGCTGCTGGGGTCCCGCTGATCAGGACTGAGTGAGATGGGCCGGATACGCCCTGGAGCCCTACCGCAGTCCCTCCCTGGCTGGCCAATCTCCTGCATTCCTCCCCGGCCCTGATTATGCACCAGTGGGGTCCCTCGGCCTGGCCTGAACCCTCTTGCAATCTGGGACCCCTCGGGGGATGTCAGGGAGCTGGTTTTGGCCTGATTCCTCAGGCCAGGCCGAGGGACCCTACTGGTGCACAAGTTTGTGCACCGGGCCTCTAGTATACATATAAGCTCTTTGGTTAATCTCTTTCCATCCCTGCTCCCTGCTCCTCTGAGATCTGTCAGTCTGTTCCATGCATCTCGACCTATTTTGTTCATCAGTTTACTGTGTTCATTAGATTCCACATATAAGTGAGATCACATGATAGTTGTCTTTCTCTGACTGGCTTATTTTACTTAGCCTAATACTCTATAGG